TGGTTACACTAGCACTCAAACTATCCAGAAAAGCTTGCAACTTACCTGGATCGTCACTTAGTAGCACAATGTCGTCTGCATACTCTAGATCAGACAGTCTGCCACCCGGAAGTAAATCGATACCGCTATCCCTGCACGAGGATAGGGCTGTTTCAAGAATTAAATCTATGACAAAGTTAAATAGAAAAGGAGAAAGAGGGCAACCCTGACGAACACCACTTTCGGTGGTGAACTCGGGTGAAAAAGTGCCGTAAGCTCGAACTCGGCTTCGGCTATTATTGTAGAGGGATTGTAATATTGAAATAAACTTCTCGGGCACTCCCTTCAGGGAAAGGCAGCGCCAGAGTTTAGAGCGGTCGACTGAGTCGAAGCCGCCTTTAGATCGAGGAAAATAAAAATGGTGGGTCTACGAAAGGAGTGTCTATGTTCTAGAATTTGACGAAGTGTGAAGATGTGGTCAATACAGCCTCGACCAGGTCTGAAACCGGCCTGGTTCTCACGCGTACACCGTTCATGTGCGGCAGACAATCGACGGAGTATGATACCGGCGAGAAGCTTAGAGGCAATATTGATTAAACTAATTCCTCTGTGGTTTTCACATGAGGATCTGTCACCTTTTTTGTAAATCGATATGATCACCGATTCACACCATTCAGTTGGAACCTGTTCCTTTTCCCACACTGAGCCCAGGAGTTTTGTTAACTCCGAAACCAAGGCTGAGCCTCCATTCTTAAAAACGGATGGGGACAGCCCGTCGGGGCCGGAAGCCTCATGCCGTTTGAGGTGACTTATTTCCCGGGTAACCTCCATTCCAGATGGAGGACTGATGTCAACTGGCAGTATTTGCATAGTTGAATCGAATGGGGGAAGTCTTGTGTCGAAGGGGACCAGCTAAACTGTGTCTAAAAATGTTCCGCCCAACGTTCAAGACGACGTTTCTGAATTTGAATCAGTGTGCCGTCAGACTCCTCGATTGCCTCACTTACGCCTGCTTTCCTTGGTCCTGTACTCCTAATTAAACGAAAAAGATTGCGACTATTACCAATAGCCGCAGCCTTCTCCATCTCTCTACACTTTCCTACCCACCACTTCTCGCGGTCATTTCTCAAACTCTTAATGAGCTGGCGTTTAAGGGATTTGCGCGCTTTGTCGTGTCTTGAATCCGATGGAATGGCTTTGCGAGCGTCCATCAGGGCAACCGAGGTTGAGGAGATCCATCGTTTTTGCTTTGATCGTGCGCCAGAGTTCGCCGTTGTTTTGAATGAAATTGGGATCGCTTCCTTGATTGCCGACCAGTGTTCGCTGAGTCCTCCGGCTGATGGTTGAGTTGAGAGGCGATCTGATAGTTCCGCTTCGAAGGCCGATTTGCAACTGTCGGTGATAGTGTATTGAAGGCATCCGTTTTCGGTGGCTTTTCTGCGGTTGTTTATCAGGCGTAGGGAGAATCTCGCTCGTAGCAGAGCATGGTCTGTGTCTACGGGTGTTGACCAGTAGGAGCGGCAGTCTTCAATGGATCCTCAGACGACAATCAACACGATCAGCCCGAAACGAAGGATGCAACTACAGGAATGAAATGGCTACAAAAATGGATACAACAGCCAACCTGGGTAAAATGGCTACCCTCTTCCGACTAATTCTATCAGCATTGGGCAAGAAACAATTCATCCAGTCTGTGTTGCGCAGCGAGCTCATTTCTGATGCACAAGGAAAAATGTATCGATGGGTAGAACACTTCCGTCTTCTCAATCGCCCTCAAATCCAACTTCCGTATGAGCCCTCCTCGCCATCTTCTCCATACGAAGCTAGCAGCACTCCAACATCAGTAGAAGTCTCAGATATCATCAACCATCTTAAGCCACGGAAATCTCCGGGTGATGACGAGACCGAAATCTACGCAGTGTTCTCCAGCCATTTTAAACCCTCTCCATAGCTTACTGTGTAATCTGAAGAACCGAAATTTGCCCAACTGACTGGACCACATCGATTTGACCACCTTTCCTTAAAAAGGGTGACAAATCAGTGCAAAATCTACAGGGGCATCAGTTTACTTGATAATGTTTTTGCACAACTTTTGCCGAACCGCTTTGCTGCGACAAGGCACACGAACACTCGTCCTAACCAGAAGGGATTTCGCTCCGGTGTGGTCTGTGTTGACCAAATATTCACTTCACGTCGACTCTTGCAACCGCCACAATTTTCAACAAGCCACCGCAGTCTGCTTCATTGATTTTCGTGCGGCATTCGACTCCGCAGATCGCGAATCCCTCTGGAACATAGTTCTGGCTGATGGTGTTCCAATTAAGCTTGTCAACTTAATGAGATCCCACTATTCCAACATTAGCCTCCAAAAGTCCCAGCATGGTCATGAAATGCTCCTATACGACCAAGCGCCTCAAATAGCCTCTGCTGAGGAAGCCCTTCTCACCGCCTTCACGTGGCGCGGTTTTACCACCAAAGTGACGGACGAAAAGCCAACATCCGCGGTTATAACCCGGTTGGTGGACCACTGGCAGTTCACCCGGGGGAGTTGGCTAAAAACCCCGATTCCAAACCAATAAAGAGGGGCGTATAAACCACATGCTTGCCTAGTTGTTTCAGTTTAGACAACCATTAAGCATGCATTTCGGAGCGACGCTTTCGGTTGCTGTCTTTTGGCTGCCCATTTGGGTAAACAATAGGAAGACAAGATGGTTGACGGCTGCCTGGTTGTGGCAGTGATCACTGGCTTGATTGGACATCGAGGTATATTGGACACCTTGGAAGTTTGACCACGTCCAAAGGGTGTATGATCCCATGTACTTGACACCTGTTCCCAAATGGATCGCAGTTTTTACACGCTGCCTTGCCGGTCAGGCTTTGGCCAGCCGAAGGCTCCGGTTGTGAATTTCTCAAGAAAATTCACCTACCTTGACCTGAACAACCTGACAGTAGTCCGGCCACAAGCAAGTTATGGAACGTTTTTCTTTTATAAAGATTACCATTTGTTTGGCACAGTCAGGGTCCATACGGGTTTAAACCACGAAATACAGGCGGCTATACACGTATACATATACATATAACTTATACATGTACATACATGCAATCAATCGTAACATTCTGCTTTCAGACAAATCACAACCGATGTAACTGGGTGATACTAGTCATAGATGCTGGCAGTAACTAAAACTAAACGCATGGACTAAGCACACCACGGATGTGCTCCTAAGCTTAATTACTGAGAGACACCGTAGTAATGAACCAGAAAAAACAGAAACCATATCGAACGTTGAACAAATTCAGCGAATGAACAGCCACTTACCCTCAATGTCTCTATAGAATGAATATTTTCACGACATTGCGTAGCAACTTTGTCACTTCCCGTTTTCGTGATGTATTCAAGAACCACTAGGGCCTTGTAAACGTGTCTCCAATTTTTGCTATCATTTAACCTCCGCCAGATCATTTGCATTATTTCCGTAAAAGCCATCACATTATGAGTTTTGTCCGCAATCTCGGCCATTAGCGTGCTGCTCGGGCCCCAGGGATCATTAGAGGTTGCCTCACGAACTTTTCTCTCTGCATCGGTATAGTTATGTACCACATTTTTAATGTGTCTGTGGATGGGCATTCTACTTGACGAGTCACAAGGAAGAAAGTTCCTCTGCCCGAACGACGAACTCAAAACTTTCGAATTTACCGCCAGTCAACCCAAGTCAGTGTAAACAGTAAGGACAGGACAGGACAGGACAGGAGAGTTCACAGGACTTGCGGCTTGAGTCAGAATGGTAGTCCGGGTTCTTGCGTCTACGGGCCACATATGCCTCGTAACGCTTCGACAGTCTGTTGATCGGTCCTTGGTGGTGTAGAGGTACGGCCTCAGAGCAAGGACGCCAATCCGGTTTGCTGTCGGTGGAAGCAGCACCAGCTGAGCAGTCACAGGCTAACCAGGAAGTCCGAGTACTCCTCCAGCAAACGGTAGAGAACCCGCAGGCATGTGAAGATAGATTAGGCTGATTCGGGGAAGGTTATATCCCAGTTCAGTTCAGTTCAGTTCAGTTTGCACAGGCCAGTAGTGGCCGAGACCAATCGTACGTCCAGATAGTTGTGTTGTCAGCTAGTCTCCTTGGCTTCCAACACTGCTCGTCAAAGGTTCTTTCTGCTTGTTTCTGAAAGGCAGAATATTTAGGTGTAGTATCTCATCCACCAGATATGTAGAAATGAAATACATTATTACAG